GACAGACTGATTAACTTCTACATTTAATTTTGACAGATAACCATATAACCACCACCCAGTTCAAAATACAGAATGCATTTTCATCCCCCTGAACTCTCTCTCCTGCTGCTTTCCAGTCTATAGGTGACAACCCTTCTGCCTTTACTGCAGATTTGTGTTGCCTGGAATCATACACTATAAACCCTTTCATATCTGGCTTCTTTCAATCAATATTATGATGGCAAGATTCACATCTGTGATGGCACATAGCTATACTTCATTTGTATTGTTCCGTTTTGTAAAAATTAAATTTAAAATTTTGAGATACTGGCAGATTCACATGCATTTGTAAGAAATAACACAGAGAGCTCCCATGTACGCTTTGCCAGGTTTCCTCCAGTGTTGACATCTTGCAGAACTATCTGACAAGGTCACCATCAGAATACTGATAGTGAGACACTGATACAGCCAAGACACAGAGCATTTCTACCACCCAGGGATCCCTCAGGCCCTTTGAGAGTCACACTCACGTCCCTGCCACAACCACCCCATCTTTAACCCTGGAAACCACTGATCTGTTTTCCTAAAATTTCTATAATTTTGTCCTTTCGTGAATGTGATATCAACAAAATCATACAGTATATGAGTACGTGTAACTTTTTTGCTTTTCCTGCATCATAAGTCTCAGGAAATTTGTCCAGGCTGTTTTGTGTAAATAGCAATAGCTTATTCCTTTTGATTGCAGTTTACAGTTTTGAACTATTATGAATCGACTAAAGTGCTATAAACCTGTGTGTGTGTGTGTGTGTGTAAGTCTTCATTCTTTTGGAATAAATGCCATGAGTGCAATTGATGGGTTGTATGGTAATTGCATACCATTTGTTTTTTAAAGAAACGCCAGACTTTTGCAGAGTAGTTATACCATTTTGCTTCCACCAATAACGTGTAAGTGATCTAGCTTCTGCCATCCTCTGGCAAATTTATGTGGGTCCGTTTCCGGGCTCTGTGTTCTGTTCCATTGATCTGTGTGTCCGTCTCTCTACCAATAGCACAGTCTCAATTGCTGTAGCTGTAAAACACGCTTTGAAATCGGGTAGACAATTTTTCCTCTTTTTGAAAATTGGTTTAGCTATTCTAGTTCCATCGCCTTTCTATATACATTTTTACATAATCTTGTCTATGTCTATCAACTATCTTTCTGGGATTTTGGTAGGAACTTCTATATCATTGTGGATGGAATTGGCACCTTTCCTTCATTTTGTCTTCCAATCCATGAACATGGTATGTCTATATATTTAGATCATCTTTTATTTCTTTCATCTGTACTGTGTAGTTTTAGCACACAATCCTATACATATTTTGTTAGATTTACACCTAACTATTTCATTTTTGAATGATTTTAAGTGGTATTATATTTAAAATTTTGATGCCCACCTGTTCATTGCTAGTATATAGAAATATAATTGATTTCTATATATTTACCTTGTATCCTACAACCTTGCTGAATGAAACTAGGAGTTTCTTTGTAGATTCCTTGGGATTTTCAAAATAGACAATCATGTCACCAAATTAAACATTTGGTAGAATTCTCCAGTGAAACCTTATCTAGGCCTGGAAATTTGGTTTAGGGCATTGGTTTCATTACAAATTCAACTTCCTTAATAGCTGTAGGGCTACTCAAACTATCTATTTCATATTTGTTGAATTGTGGTAGTTTGTGTTTTTGAAAGAAGTGAGCCAATTTTGTGTAAGTTGTCAAATTATGTGAGCAGGGGAGTTTGTGGTGCTCCCTTAATATTCTTTTGATGGCTGTAGTCAGTAGTGATATTTTGTTTCATTCCTGATATTGGTCTTTTGTGTCTTCTCTCTTTTTTTCTTTGTCAGTTTTACTAGAGGTGTATCAATTTAGATTATTTTTCAAAGAGCCAGCTCTGTTTCATTGATTTTCTGTACTGTTTTATTGGTTTGTTTTCAGTTTTACTGATTTCTGCTTTGTTTTTATGATTTTCTTCTTTCTACTCACTTTGTTTTCTTTGCTCTTCTTTTTCTAGGCCCTCAAGGTGGGAGCTTAGGTTACTGATTTGAGACTCCTCTGCTTTTTCTGTTGTTGGGAGGCAACACTAGCCAGATTCCAAATGAGGCCTCAGGGCCTCACTACCTGTCAGCAGGAGTGAGTCGTTATTCTATGTTCTGTTCTGTTGCATTCTTAATTCTTTCTTTGCTCCAGTTTGTATTTCTTATTGGCCTGTCATTGAGTTCAACCTATTTTCATGCTCTTGTTAAACCTGTTAGAAGGGTTCTTAATTTCTGATACTGTATTTTTCAGTAGAAGTTTCATTTGTTTCTTTTAAAATTAGATTCTAAATTTCTGCTTAAATATGGCATCCCTGCCCCCCCCCATTTATATATGCTAGCACTCTGGGGAATGCAAAAACTAGAGTCAGAAGACTCTTACCATCAGGAACTTCATGGCTTCTCCAGGAACTCTGATATCCTAAAAGTTTTTGTGATTACAACAAAGGAGGAACTCAAGAGAGAGATGGCCTCTGAGAGGCAGGGCCGGTGGTGTCATCATGGGGATGTCAGCTGACTAATGTAAGTTGATTGATTTATAATGAGAAATGTAATTGTCAAGAGAAACAGACTCTGTAGACTTCCCTCTTATAGAAAAATCAACATGAAACTACAACAACTCGTCAGAAGGTTGCTCGGTGAGTATGGAATCGGCAAGGGAGGTGCTGGATGCTGTGACTTGCTACTGATACCATACTGTGACATTGAGATTGGTGCTTCAGACCAACGGGCTATAAATCTGTGGTTCCCATGATGCCCTCCTCAGGTTCCATTAATGTTGTAGAATGGCTCACCAAGTTCAGGGAAACACTTAGTTACGTTTACCAGTATATTGAAGGATATTATAAAGGATAGAAATAAACAGCCAGAGGGCGAGATATGTAAGGCAAGGTCTGGTGGGGTCCCGAGTGCAGGAGGTTCTGTCCCCGTGAAGTTGGGTTACGTCATCCTCCTGGTATGTGGGTGCATTCACCATCCTGGAAGCTCTCCAAATTCCACACTGTTGGGGTTTTCATGGAGGCTTCCTCACATAAGCATGATCAATTATATACTTGATTTCCAGCCCCTCTCCCCTCTCTAGGGAATGGGGGGTGTGGCTAAAAATTCCAAGCTTCTAATTATGGCCTGGTCTCTTCCTGGTGACCAGCCCCCATCCAGGAGCCATGCAGGGGTCCACTCAGCGTCTCCTCATTAGGACAAGATGGCCCCAGTGCTCTTATCCTTAGAAATTTACAAGGGGTTCAGGAGTTCTGTACCAGAAACTGGGGGCAGACTAACATATGTATTTCCTACTATCTCATGGGGCTCAGATAAGTGAACTTTGAATATTGGGATCCAATTGGCTACTCTAAACCGCCGTGCGATGGGTTGGTGGCAGTTTAAAATTCATTCATCTGATTCCCCCTTCACAAAGAGCTCGCTTATTGTGGCCCCCTCCCCAATCCAGGGTGGGCATTTGGGGCACACGCACTGGCTCTTCCCTCAGTTCTCACCCCACAGGCCTCGGGTACTGTGAACCTGCAGTGATGAGCGGTGGGGGAGGTTATGCTCAGACCATTGACTTTTCCCACTGATGAGCCCATAGTCCAGAAGGCTAAACGGTGAAACAAGGTGAATTCACTAAAGGCAGGTGCTCTCCCCCTGCGGCAGCCCTGGGGCACTGGTGGACACACGGCTGGATCCGTGGTTTGAATCTGCCCTCGTCCTCGCCCCTCCGTATTCACTACTCACATTTTTACCTCCTTTCTTCTTTCTTGTTCTGGCCGGAAGTTCCTTTTCTCTGTTCACAGCTAGTTTTAAGTTTTTCAGTTCCTGTCTCATCAACTCATCAACCTAGGTGAATACAAGACGTGCCTTTTATAAGTGACTCTGCATGGTTTTCTTTGTGACATCAAAACATAGCTTAAATTCTGGGTAGGCCATTAAGGGGGAATTGTAAAAATGCACCCCCACCGCGGGGAACGGCCTGTTCTTAGTGCAGATAGATGTATTACCTGCACCCTGATCTCCGACTCCAGCTCTTTCCGTTTCTCGTCTTTGATCATTTCCGGGTCATAGTCCTGCGGGAAGTTCCCCGACTCATCTTTATTCTCCCACATGTCTGTGTGCCGGGAGGAAAAGGAAAAGGAAAATGAACATTTCCGTCAACACGCAAGTTAACGGATGCAGTTATTGCAACATAAAACACAAGCTTAAGACTTGGAAACAACCAAAATGCCCATCGGTAGATGACTGGATTAAGAAACTTTGGTACATTTACACAATGGAGTATTATTCAGCTATAAAGNAAAAACATTATTAGGACTATTGGGGAAATTGATGATTAATTAGATTTTAGCTAATAGTGTCACAATAATGTTCAATTTTCTGAGTGTGATTGTCCTTTTGTGGTTAGTAGGACGTCCGCGTCTATTGTAGATGTGTGAAAGTGAATGATAGCTGATTAGAGTGGTAGGATTATGAAGAGTTTTAAGTTTTAAGTGTGCTTTCAGGTCATCATGTTGTTTTTTTAAAAAATTAAGAGAAAAACCTTAGTCGAACAGAGTGATAACACATGTCCCCACCACCTTCCCCCCAACTTCTTCCGCAATGGCCCCTTCTGGAAGGAGCTTGCTCCGGGAGGACTGAGCTGTGGAGGTAGCAGGTGCTGCCCGCTAGGCACTCGGTTAAACATGATTCGGCTTGTGCCAGAAAGAACGCCCCCAGGAACCTTGCTAGTGGGTTCAAAAACCCGCTTCTCCCACATTAGGGGAGGCAGCTGGATCCATTAGTTCACAGCACAGAACAAATTCAAATCAATTCAGTCCAACACACACTGCAAGCCGCTGCGGGCCAGGTGTTGGGCTGGACTGAACCACAAATGGGACGTACTTGCAGCTGCTGGGACTTCAGAACCCAAGGGGTGACATAAGTGCCACACACACCACATTATTCTTTGTGTACTTTACCGATGTAATCAGAGAGGTTGACTTTCAGAGGCTGGATCAGCAGCTCTTCCTCCACCAGCTCCTTAAACAGAGACTCAATGGACCTGGGGAGAGAGCGACCATCAATTCCATGAGCACACACACAACACCAGCTGCATTTCTGTTCATCAGCGCGTATGCAGAGAGCTTGAACCAGCTCTATCTCAAAGTACATTTGTATATATGCAAATAAATGGATTTTTGAGGCATTTCTGCAATTTGGGGATAAATTGGGCTTTTTCAAAACAATACTCTCACTCGTCCATGTGTATATCATTAATAAGAATGATATTGTTGGGCATCTTGAGGCTGGCTATAACTCCTGCAGTCTGCCCTTTCATCAGTCTTCGTGATAGCACAAATATGAATTAGAAATTACCCAATAATCGTAATGCAATGGGCCCATAATTATATATTCAGTGAGCATCTGCAAGCTGTAGTAGATCATTAATCCTTCATGAAATTGATGTTTCCTTTTAAGCCAATAGAATGCTAGTTTAAAAGAAATATCCGTAAGGAACAAAGGCTTATCGGGGAAATAATTCTAGTATGAAAGACAAAACGTCTAAAGCTGTGAGTATGATGATTTTTTAGGAGGATATTGTACTTTTCCGTGATGTTTACAGATGTCAAAACCACTTCTCTAAGAGGGCCATGGGCGTATAGCCAGCACATGGGTAATTTATACTAATTGAGGGGAAAAAAATGGAGATACCATCCCACTTGATGAATGAAACTCCCAATGAAATTAACTGGGGCTTGGCTTACAGGAATTCAGATAGGTCAAGTTCAAATATTGTTCGGCATAATCCGCTGAGATGTTTTGTCTTTTCCCTTTTGTTTCTAGGGGCCTTATGCTTTGGTCCTACCCGAGTCTTTCTTTAGATTGAAGAATTGTAAATATAACTATATTTAAACAGCTCTTTGGCTGTTCTCTGATCCAGGTCAGC